TTATAAAAGATAACACATTCAGAAAAGGAAAAACTACTAATAAACTTTCTTGGTATATACTCAACGTAACCTTTGTTGTTCGACTTACATTACATTATAACACATGTACAAAAAGCTTTAATGTTCTTTTTTGACTTATTGTACGTGATCTTGATATTTCTTACAATATACACTAATTTTTACATGCAACCTGCATGCATTACATCACTACCTACATTCACACAAAAGGCTCTCATACAAAATGTATTCACTTATGTACTTTTTACAAAACTAAATGCATATATATCTAAACTACAGTTACCACCATTCAACAACATCAATACTATATCATAATCAAAAACTATTTTCATTTAAGTAATTTTTACAAATCAAAAGATATATAACCACATGATCTTTCTTAATAGAATTAAAGTACACTGCATGTACATATGCAAAAATTATTCAAAAAAATTAAAAATGTACATACCTTTAATTTTTCACTGACTTCGTCTTGTTCTTCATTAACTGCATGTTCTCCAATCATGTCGGAAACTACATTTACTTTCCTCCTCTTGTAACAATTTTTTTCAATCGCTTTCACCGTTGACCCTACTTTTCTTTTTGAAGGAAACCTTACTATTTCATCTTTCGACTTCTTATGTAATTCCATCGCAGCAGTATATCCTGAAATTTGTGATTTAATCTAAGTTATACCTAAATCAAAAGATGGTATTTCAACCATGAAATTTTCGGTATATTTTGTATCTCTTGTGATTATCCTTTTGGTATTTTGTTTAGACAATTATATTCAACAACCCATATCCTAAAAATTTATAAACAAACAAATATTAAAGAATTTAACCTAATAAAAATTGAAGAAACCTGCATGATCTAAACAACATAAATATCTCCGAAAATCAAGCAATGTTGCGTATTTGATTTGAAAAAATACAAACCTAATTTCGTGGGAGCTTGATAGAGATTTAATTGATTAAGAATTTTACGGTAAATCTGATTTTGGGGGGATTTGGGAGATAAGTTTGAAGCTATAAAATGGGGTTCTTGGAAAATGACTAAATGTGAAATCAGATTTTGGGAGGATTTGAGAGATAAGTTTGAAGCTAAAAAATGGGTTTCTTGGAATTAACGTGAAAATAGGCTTCTTTAATTTCAATAGGCGTGCTGTAGATAATAGAGAGAGAAACATCCATAATATCTGTGCACAATTATTATGGAAGGAAGAGAAACGTTAAAATAAGAACATAATTAATATAGGAGTAGATTATAGAGAGAGAAACATGAGGCGTACATGCACAATTATTATGGAAGGAATATAAACGTGAAATTAGGGGCATATACTATATTTTTTAGGATAATTTAATATTTATTTTCTATTTATTAATTAAATATAGTCATAAAATGAAAATCTAAGGAAGTATAGCTATATTATTTTAATATAAAATATAGTTTGTCATTTTATGTAGTTTTTCCTATAAGATATGACAAACCAACATTCCAAATTAGTTAAAATGTTTAAGAGAAAATTATGCAGTTAAGCAAACTTATACGACTTAACTATTTATCATTACTATAATTTGCTATAATTACTATTCATGACTAACATTATACATTAATTATGTGGGGCGATTTCGAGTTTGAATAATTAGTCACATTTGTATATGTATAATTCGCCTAAATATACAAATACATATGTATGATATATAATTATCTAATCGATATACATATATAATTCACCTCTCTCCCACTCTCTGGCCTCTCTCCTCCCTCTCCTAATCTCGTTCGCCTCTCTTCTATCTCTCCCAATCTCGTTTGTCATATATACAAATGTGTATGTATGATATACAATTATCTAATATATATACATATGCAATTCACTTCCCTCCCACTCTCTGACCTCTCTCGCTCGCCTCTCTCCTCCCTCTCCCAATCTCGCTCGCCTCTCTCCTCCCCCTCTCAATCTCTTTTGTCATATATACAAATATATATATATATATATATATATATATATATATATATATATATATATATATATATATATATATAATATACAATTATCTAATCGATATACATTTACAATTCACCTCTCTCCCAATTTTGACTCTCTCTCCTCTCTCCTCCAATCTCGCTCGTCTCTCTCCTCCCTATAACATGTAGTTACGAATCGTAATCATCAAATTATAACTATGGAGAGTAATTAAACTATTTTTGAGTGGATATATGTGAAAGTTTCTCATTGAAATTTAAGGCCAAAATACAATAATCACATACTTTAAAGGCAAAATTATCATTTATCCTTTTAAAGTTTATAATTACAGAAATCTCTCAAACGGATACAATAATATAAACGTTTGATACATTAAAGAGAAGGTCAAATACATTAATGACCAAAAAATCAAAGTGCTGATACATTAAAAAGAGGGTCGGATACATGTGTTGATATATTAAAAATGGAAAATTATATGGAATGGCAAAACATTCCTAAGTAATTATATAATAGGGGTATAGTTTAATTTATTTACTTTCTATAATTTTAGTATATTTTTTTTGCTATAATTAATGGGGTCCACCACCTATTATATAACCAATAGTATAAAAACTTTTTTTAAAATTAATTTTGTATATAATTTTACATAAAACAATATTATCTCTCCTATTCATATTCCACTTTTTTCTCCTACAATTAATACTTCTATCCGATTTGAATTTCAAATTGTCCAAAATTCAATTACTCCCTCCTGAAGTTGAATTCAATTTTCGTAGGTACTCCTAAATTTTAGTCGTTTTTTTTATACAACAATTGTATATGTATTGTGTTTCTTATGTTTTTTCATATTTTTTTGATGAAATAATCAATTGTTTGTTCTTATTAGATCTCTAATTAGTCACAGAATGAATGAATCATCTTCATCTATGAGGATTATTAAAGGTATTCCGTTGCATGTCAATTTTGTTGACAATTTATCATCATTTTCAATGGTTACACTCAAGATTTTGGGTTGACGTAGGGTCTATGGTAAAATCAAAACAAGTTCAACATGAACAAACAATGGAAGAATTGAGATCAAAGAAAAAAATATGACCTTACGGCAGTTCAAGAAGTTATTAACAATGTTAAAGCTAGAGGCATTAAAATTGTACATGGAGGAAGAAAGAGGAAAGCAGTAAACATTGATTCAGAGGAAAATGCATGTGAAGTTGACGGATCTGAAGAACATCATAATTATGAGGTAGTGACTTAAAACACAAATTTAGATACAATTTTTTTGTTACTTAGATGTCAATATACAAAAAGTTATTGTTTAAGTAAATTTTGTATTCACGTAATTGTATATAGTATATTGCATGTTTAGTACACACATGTTTTAGTTATATATTTGTATATGTGTCTGTGGATTTGATTACTTTATACATACTTTAAGTTATGTATAATGAATAATACACTAAGTCTTAATAGTGGTAGTAGCAGATTGTATATTAAAGGCTCATTATTATTTTTGTTTTTGTATATATATACAAAAAGTAATTGGACTCAGTTATACAGATGGGAAAATTTCATATATGATTATAATTTGTATATTTTATTAGTTATATACAAATTATTGAAGTTAGTATATATTGAGTTTATATACATATACAAAAATTGATATGTCCATGACTGTTTTCAAAATTGGCTGTTTTTGTATACATATATACTAAGTTTTAATAGTGGTAGTAGCGGATTGTATATTAAAGGCTCATTATTATTTTTGTTTTTGTTTACATATATACACAAAGTAATTGGATTTAGTTATACATATGGGAAAATTTCATATATGATTGTAATTTGTATATTTTAGTAGTTATAGACAAATTATTGAAGTTCGTATATATTAAGTTTATATATTATTGGAGTCTATACAAAGTCATTTAGACAGTTGTATATATTGTCATGTTTAACTACCATATTCATGTACACATATTAACCAGAATGCATAACCAAAATAGCCAATGAAGCCATTATCTGTACAATTATAAAAAAAAAAAAATTTCAAATCATTCAAAAAGATCATATATACAATTAACACAACACTATTATACAATCAAATTATTGAATTGATTTTACACTGATATTCTTTTTAATATACAAATACTACATCAAAAAAATATATATAATTGTATCAAAAGCAAAATACTTACTTTATGGCTATATATAATTATCACCAACGATTACTTGTATTCGCTTACACTGATCTTCTTTATAATATACAAATACTACATCAACAAAAAGTATATAATTGTCTGCTTAAAATAATCATATTTTGAAACCAGTTTTCAAAAAAAAAATTTACGGCACCACAATAACGAACGCACATAAATCAAAATTTGTAAATCCAATAGAACATTGTATAATTATTGCAATAATAAAAATGAATTTTCATCCAATGAACACTTACTTGAATTCGATTACAAAGAAAAAATAAAAAAAATTGATGAACTGTTGTTTCATAAACAACAAAAACAAGTTTATCTTTTGTTTCAATTGCTGTATAATTTTTATTTTTTTTTGAAAAAAAATATGAATTTGAACGTTTACTTTAAAAAAGGGACGTTTACCTTAAATTATGACATTATCTATATTTATTGTTAGCATATTTAATGCTTCAGTTACAAACCACTTTTTAAAATAAAATTATATAAATAAAAAACAAAATAAACCTTATATACAAAAATAAGGATACCTAAAATAACTAAACTATACCCATAAAATGTAATTAGGTAAACTATACCCATATAATGTTATTTAATCAAATAAGTTTGTCATATATGAAATTTTCCCTATTAAAAAGAGGGTCAAATACATTAATGGAGGTTCAAATATATTAAGGAAATTTTTGACTTAAGAGAAAAATGATTTGAAAATTTGTAAAATTTATAGAAAATAACACTAATTAGTAAACCAAAAGGTGTAATTTCTGTAACAAAATCCGAAATTTAAACAGAAGCCCAAGAATGTTATGTGGTGGTGGGTGGGCTTGTTGAATAGGCCCAACCCTAGTAGCCCATGATAGCACAAAACCCACATTGGCGCGGAAAATTGAAATGTCTGCTTCTACTGAGTAGTGAGCTTGGCAGAGGAAAATTGGTCGCGAATCAGGTTAAATTTCTTCCATTTTTGTGTTTGTATGTGTTAACAAGAACAATCAAAATTCAGAGTGTTTGATATCTTATTTCAGGACGATTTCTCTTCAACTATAGGTTGAAATGTTGTGGGTTGACAAGTACCGCCCTAAAACATTAGATAAAGTTATTGTACACCAGGATGTTGCTCAAAATCTTCGTAAACTGGTAAATTATCTCTTCACACTTTGTCAATTCTTTCATATACTCAAACTCATCACCCTTATTACTATTATTAGGTCTCAGAGGGAGATTGTCCTCATCTCCTCTTTTACGGCCCTCCCGGTTCAGGAAAGAAAACTCTCATTATGGCACTTCTTAGACAGATTTTTGGTCCAAGTGCTGACAAGGTAATTCTTTAATTCATTGTTTTCTTTTTCTCTCTGTATCTAAAAATTTGAAATTTATGTTTGGATGACTTATGCAGGTTAAGGTTGAGAACAAGATTTGGAAAGTTGATGTAAGCTTTTCCTTGAATTTCTTTTTCTTTTCTTTTGGAATGCAAGTATATATGTGCATGTGATTTTTTTTTTATCTGCATTCTTATTATTTGCATACATCAATTGATTCCTTTTTTTCTTTCTCCAATATATAACAATTGCCCTTTTTAAAAGTAAAATGCACAAAAATAGTGGAAGATGCTTAACATTCAAGTAACACATACACACTCATATTAAAAAAAAAAGCGACAAAGAATAGTTCTAGTTTGTTACTTCTAAAAATTTTTGGTGCACAACATATGTACCTACTTGTATAGATGGTTGGTTAGATTTTTGATGATTTTGATTTATAGCACTGTACTTCTCTTGTAAAGCAATCATCTTCTTCATGTGGTATTAATAAATAACTTGGATTTATTAAAACAAAGAAAACTAATTAAGTAAATCATGAGACATTGTGAGTATCCATGTACATTTTCCATGTTGCTCCAAAAAGAAAGAAGGAAATACAATGAGACTGAAGACTGATTATATTCCCCTTTTTTTCTTTAAAAAATCTTCTGTTTCTCTTTCTCCAGTTTTAATTTAGTCATGTGTGTATATATATTTTCTCAATGTTTGTCAGCAACATATTGTGTGAATTTTAGTGTTAAAGAAAGAATAGGAAGTTTAGGCAATATGTAAACAGACAATTTTCATTAACTTTTAAGTTCAAATGAAATTGTGCTATTTAAAATGACCTGGACTGAAGTGTTAAAAACATGAGAACCCCTCTAATTCCTCATATTCTCTTCCTATGTCTTTCACAAAATAAAATCTATCAGTTTCAGCACTACTCTAAATCACTTGATGTCTGGAACTGAGTAATTAAAGTACTTATTCATAAAAATATTTTAGTACATTATTTACTAATTAAAAATATCTAATTGTCTTTTGCATTTGAGAGGCTTTTCTACCAATATACCTCTAATCTATCTGTCAAAACTGCAAGAATTTGATATTTAAGAGTTTGGGGAAATTTTATCTCTGAGGGACATTTGGCTAAAGGAAAAAAAGCAAGGAGTGTTTTTTTGCATTGATCTCTCTTTATGGGTTTTCCTCTCAGGCTGGTACTCGGACAATTGATGTGGAGCTCACAACATTGTCAAGCACTCACCATGTGGAATTAAATCCAAGTGATGCCGGATTTCAGGACAGATACGTTGTTCAAGAGATAATCAAAGAAATGGCCAAGAACAGACCAATTGACACGAAAGGGAAAAAGGGGTTTAAAGGTGACTCAACAACTTAGTCTAGTTTCTACTAATTAAAAAGAGTCTTAACAACTTTGACCCATTAAATATATAAAAAGCAACACTTTCTAGCAAACTTGATCCATCGCCTTGACTCGTCCCCCAAACCCATCATCAAGATTATTTAATGAAGGAAATCCAAACTCACATGATCGTTAGCTTTCTCAAGATCCAACTTACATAAAGTGCACGAGTCATATTTCGTCTTTCTAAATTAGCCACTTCGTTTGCCACTAAAGCTGATTCCAGAATGTCTTTCTTCCACAAAAGCATTCTGACAAGTAGACACTGTCTTATCCAAAATCTTTTTTTTTACTCTATTAGAAAGCACCTTAGAAATAATGTTGTTAATGCTTCCTATCAGACTAATATATCTAAAATCCTTTATACTCATTGCTCCTTCCTTCTTTGGCGTAGTAGTCATGCACTAGAACTTCTCCCCAACTCCTAGTATCTTGGAATACTGCAGTTATCTCCATCAACTCACTTCTAACTACCCCAACACTGTTGGAAATAAGCTAGAGTGAATCCATCACTTGCCACCGCTTCCTGCACTTCTTCTTCATCTATACCCCTTTCCTACCACTCCCTCATCCCGTTCCTTAATTGACTAAATACTACAATGGCTCCCTCACTTTCTCATCGTCCTTCTCATGCACCTCTGAGTTCACATCTAGAGATTCAATTAAGTTCCTCATCCTAATTGCTATGACAACCCTATGAAATAAGCTTGTATCTGAATTCCCCTCTTCCAGCTACAATATCCTCGATGTTTGACTCCAACTAGTCTCTTAAGCAACCGCTAAAGCAGCAAGCTACCTTTTTTCCATCTCCTTCCTAATTCTCTTCCTATCTTCTAATGCGTTCATCCCTTCCACATTCCTTATTGTCCACCTCATTTTCTAATTCCCTCATCTTAGCTGCCGCAATCCCAAACATCTTCTTTCTCCACTTCCTCATATTTCTTTTTAACATTTTCAACTCGCTAGCAAGTCGGAAAGATGGTGTACCAACAACTTCATACCCATTCCATCAAGTATCTTCCCTACCTTTTTGAATATATTAACACTCCATAGATGGAGCAGAGGGCCCATCAGATTTACTATCACAGTGTTGCCGAAGAATCTTTTGTCAACGCAGCCATCTTGCTCTATTTACCTTTCCAACAGAAGTTGCTAGTTAACCATCTCCTTCCTCCTGAAATGTCTTCACTGCCTGCTGCTCATTAGCAGAGCGAAATAAGGTTTGGGTGTCGCTCAGCTGGATAATTTTCAACCCATCTGCTACTTCCCGTTTGTTAACAACACAATTTTCGATTGCCTCGGAAGTGCAGCCATTTCGTAATGGAACCAACCAGGCAAGTACTTAAATTTGTTTGCTTCTTGAGACATATTCTGTAGAAAGAGAGAAACAGGGTTCTCTCGTTGATTTGTTCTGTTGGCATCTTCCCTCCGGTCTAACAATGCCGGCGATTGAGCTTTGTGGAAGGACATGACCTCCGACTTCTCTAGAGACTTTGATCATAGTACTATTTGTTGTAGTTACTTTTTTCAGACTTCTTTGTCGTGCTTTCTATGGTATTTGCCATGGCTTCTTATTCACTTCTGTTATTTTTTTTTCAAACTGCTTTGAGTTTCTTTTCCTTGAGCCGAGGGTCTATCGGAAACAACCTCTCTACATCCCAAGTTAGGGGTATCTGCATACATTCTACCCTTGCTAGGCTCCACTTGTGGGGTTACACTAGGTATATTTTGTATGAATAAATGAAAAACAACAAAATCCATAATCTATCTTTTAATAAGGAAAATACATATGATCTATTATAGATAATTTATAAAAAAGAAGCATTTCATGTGATATATCATACCAAAGGTTAACAGGACAAGAAAATTGATATTCTATAGTGATTTCTCTATGTTAAGCTGAGGAATTTAAAATAGTTATTGAATGCCTTATCAGCTTTGAGATATTATTTTGGAATTTCAATTATTTGCCACCAGCATTGTGTAAATGTCTTCTATTATTTATACTTTGTTCATTAGTAGCTGTAAAAGGTACCTAGCTGATATCATGTTGGTACATATTAGTTCTAGTGCTAAATGAAGTTGACAAGCTCTCAAGAGAAGCACAACATTCTCTTCGAAGAACAATGGAGAAGTACAGTGCATCATGTCGCCTGATTCTTTGCTCCAACAGTTCTTCAAAGGTCACTGAAGCAGTTCGCTCACGATGCCTTAATGTGCGAATAAATGCACCAATGGAAGAAGAGGTCAGTGAAATTCAGCTGTCCCACTGTTGATATATTTTCTTTCACCATCTTTCTGGTTTGTCCCACTGCTAATATTACAACATTGTCTTCTTTCCTTTTCTTTTTCTGGTTTTCATACTACAAGATCAAGAGTAGAAGTATATGTGCTGTTTAACAATTAGCTGCATTTTCTTGGTTCGGGCTTGCATTAGACTAGTGTGTTTATCTGGTCTTTTCTCCAGGGTTTATTTCATGTGAGAATTTCCCTGTAATGACATTCATTGTCGCCAAAAAAGGTGCTAAGTAAAGTTAAATGTTGTGCTAGCTTAGACATGGTGGATTGAAAATGCCATTTCAACTGCTTTGGCTATTCGTTTACCACAGGAAAAGACACTTTTTGAGGAAAGGGTGCCATACATCCTTGAACATAGTTTGAGCAGTCTTTGGTCTTACATACCAATTTGTGCCTTAGAAACAAGATGGAGGCTCATCTAGTGAATAGAGTAACTAGAACAACTAAATGTTGGAGATATACTTAAATAATAATATTGTGCACTTTTTAATTGCTTAAGCTTCTAGATTAGATAAAACAAACTTCAACATTTATTAGAGCACACACAAGTCCCGGGTCAGTCTCACCATCACCCACTATTAAAAGTAATATCTATGTGCTTGGCTCATGAAAAAAGAATTAAGTCTGCAGTCTGCACATGAGAGGGCGTGTTATAGATGTAACTAAATAAATAATAGTGTGACTTCTCTAACAACTTAAGCTTTTAGAGGAGATGATCACACAGTTCAGCACTAACAGCACGAGAGCAGTAGTTATTTGTAGAATTGTCACATGAGTTTGTTTAAATTTTCTTTACAATTAAATTTTTTTGGTTATACTTGGATTAAATGTAAGAACATTTGTTGTAATTTAATCAATTTTCAAAAAAAGTAAAAAATATATAAGAACATTTGCTCAAGTATGAATTGATCTTATTTAAGTTTAATTACGGATATGCTAATTTGAGTTATTCCACTGACATGTTCTAGTTGTCCAGGAAACATTATAAGATGAAAGTTTTAACTTAAGAAAATACGTCAACTGAAGGACCATAACGCATGTGTTATTTTTTTCCTGTGACATTGTCCCCTCATAATTGAGAAATCCCTGAAGGGTAGTGGGCCTTGTTTGAAGCTCATTGAATAATTGATCCACTTTACCCTTCTCCACTTAAATACCAGGACTTTTTCCGCAGCAGTGTTCAAGCCCTTGCACCTAATCTACACATCACGTTCTGCATTCCTACTAGACTAAAGCCTGGTTGCCTTAGGACCTGTGACTCTACTTGACTTAATGCTTTTTTGACTTTGGTGTGGGACCATCAGGAAGTTTTTGATGCATAAGATTTTTTCTGAATCAAAGTATATATACGACCTAGTCAGTCATTTAGCAAAGAATTGTTGACACGTGGTCCTTTGATTATTCATCTTATTCCTAACTGTTTCTTGTTAATCTTTTTTGTTTGACAGATTGTTAGTGTTTTGGAATTTATTGCCAAAAAGGAAGGACTTCAATTTCCACAGGGTTTTGCAGCCCGCATTGTGGAAAAGTCAAATAGGAATCTGAGAAGGGCAGTTTTAACATTTGAGTCTTGCCGTGTTCAACAGTTGAGCCCTTTAACTGCTGGATACTGATTTATTTTAGTTTCTTGCTAGCTTAGGCTGTTAATTCTGAGTTTATGGTATATTATTTGTACCAAAGTTTTTTTATGCACTTGCTGATCCCTTCTTTATTTGTGCAAGGTATCCCTTTACAAACAACCAAACTGTACCTCCAATGGACTGGGAGCAATATGTTTCAGAAATTGCATCAGACATAATGAAAGAGCAGAGCCCTAAAAGGTACTGTTGACAGTTAATATGAATAGGGTATTTAATATTCAGCTCGTGCTTCTATAAACTGTTCTTTGAATGTCCAGTTCTGCCACTAGAGGTCGACATGGAATTCAAGACAAGTGGAGATTTGACTTTGAGAGAAGGGAGCTGTAAATTTAAGAGGACAATTGGCTTTTGAGTATGTTATAAAAACAGAGAGAAACCTATAAGACTTCACATACCTTCGGTGGCCCAGTGGTTTGGGCTTGAGACTCCCATGTTGAAGGTCTCAAGTTCGATACCCCATGCCAGAGAAAGCAGGGGGTTTGCCTTCTGGGTTGTGCTCGTCTCACCGGGCTTGACTAGTGCGGGTTACCTCTCATGTGTGATTTGTGAGCTATTGTATAGGAGTGAGGATTCTATCCTATGCGCATCCAAAGGTTAGCGGCTGCGGATTTCTCTTGTCATAAAAAAGCAAGCAAAGCAAAATTAAATTTCAAGTAATGTAATGAATGACTAGAAATGGGGAAGTTAGTGACTAGAAATAGGAAATTAGAAATTAGTTTTAGAAAACTAGTTGCTTTTATGATTTAGAATCTTAATATGCATCTCTGCATCTAATTTAAAAAGGTTTCGAACTTGATTGATAGGGCCATTTCTTCATTTATTTAACTTATTGTAGTTCTTTTTACCATAATCCATACATACCTGTAGTTAGTTCTCTTACATTACACATGCTAATTTATGTTTTCTTCCTATTGTGCCTTTCTTCACTACAGCATGCTGTAATTGTGCTTTGGGCTTAAGCCCTGGCGACACTCCTTCGCCTATAAGTAGAAAAGAGGCAGTAAGAAGTCAAAAGGGGGCATATTGAAATTTATCCTGTCATGGAATTTGTTGATTGCTTTCTTCTGTTAAAGTTAGTAGTTCTTTGTTGTCTCAGTTTCTGAAGTAGTTTCCAAATTGAGGATCTGAATGTCTTATTTGATTAATAAATCAGTAATGTAAAGCACAGACAATTGAGCGAGCGAGTCACATATAGATAAGCAATTTGTCTCCAAACTTCTAAAAAGTTGTCCAGGATTTTTTAAAAAACTAGTTCACTGAAACAAAAGAAAATTAAAAAAAAAAAAGAAGCAAAAAGAATGAATAGTTGCTGCAATCGATTTACAGAAGTCTCCATCTCCAAGTGAAGATCCTTTAAATTCTTTAAGCCCTTTTCATTACCTTGGATGCACCAAACAAACACAGATATACTTTATGAACAATGGTTGATACTCCCTTAAATCATTTCCTTTTTTGTTCATTCCATATGCAACCAATAATGCATAGTGTTGCATCACAAATTTCCTCACCTATTTCCCATTAAATGTCAAAAGACGGAATTGCATGCTCTTTAATAAGCAGAGCCAGAAGAAACATTCAGTTGAAAGGCAAAATCCAAGTATTCAAGCACAAGAATCACTAGAACAATGTAGTTCAGAGTATATAGATGATCCTGTGGCTATGGTGGATATCCCAGGATCCTTATAAGTTATACGATGATGGAGGATCTGGTGATAGTTTTGCTTTTTTCTTTATGTTTTTGTTTGATAGGCACACTCCTGTGGATATAGGATATGATGTAAATTTTTGGTTACCCGCTCTGAGCTGATGATTGATATACAAAATATTGCCTTCATCAAGAAAAATAAATAATTACTAGAACAATATTAGTTTTTTGCAGTCTCTGGAGTTTTAACCTTTCTTTGTGTAAAGCTTTATGTATCTTCTTGATGCTTTTTAACACAAGAACGTACTTCATAAAAAAGGAACAATATTCTACCCTCACTATAAGTTGAAAAAAGGAAAACTGTGTGTTTTTGAGCTTACATTGTTTTTCACATCATTTAAGATATTCAACTATTAATCATGCAAAGAAATCATCATCTTTCATACGAAGTTAGGAAGGAGGGAGGTGGGTAACTTCCCATGGGCAATCTGAACAAGACATGTGTCTTAATTGTGCTTATCACCACACAACTACACAATATACATTTGCGTCCTTGTATGAACTGCAATGTTCTTTATTACAGGTTATTTGAGGTAAGAGGAAAGTTATATGAGCTTCTAACTAATTGTATTCCCCCTGAAATTATTTTGAAGGTAAGATCTTTTTCCAGGTGCTTTACCTTCTACTCTGTAAGGTGTTACAAACATTTATGTTTGAATGATTCTGCTTTCAATTGCAGAGGCTACTTTTTGAACTATTAAAGAAACTGGATTCAGAGTTGAAGCATGAGGTGACCAACTGGGCTGCTCATTATGTAAGTTATTGAGTTACATAATGTTTCGTATTAAGTCGATGAGAGTTAAGGAATCAAAGGAATTTCTAAAGGTCGGACTACTCCAACCATTCCCTTATGGTTTGGCTTGAATGATCAATCATTCTGTAGTACTACAACCAAGTATAAGTTAGGATTCAAGTCAATGTATGAACTCAGAATTAATGTTTGTTGAGAGATGTAAAGGGATGCTTTTTTTTTGTTGTTGAATCAGCCATTAGGTTATGTGCACTTTTACTGTATTGATAATTCTGCATTTTTCTCGTGCATGAATTAATGTTTGTTGTTTTGTAAGAAATAGTTTAAAACTTTCCTTAAGAAATTGTGCCTTTCAGGAGCATAGGATGCGTCTTGGACAGAAGGCTATATTTCATCTCGAAGGTATTGCATATCCTTTTAATTAGAAATCAACTTTGAGCATTATCAGAAAACAGCTTTGACTGGCTGCTTTGTATTGGTTGAGCTCTATTTTCTCAGATGCTGATTTTCTATGTTACCTTTACTTGATCTCTCAGTTGTTTATGCTCTCATACATTGTTTGAAATATAAGTTGCTGTAAGTAACTTATAAATGACTTCTGTGATTTCCTGTCTGCTTTTTTAAAAATTTTTATGTGAACTTAATTTTTGAATACTGGTGTTGTTCTGTTCGTCTAAGAGCTTTGGAATGTTTCTTTTGAAAAATCTTCTGCCACATATTTGATCTGTAGATAGGATTTGCACATGATTAGTTCAGTCTGAAGGGGTTAATAGGATGCTAGTATTAAAGGGATTTTATATTTATATTTGGATAGTGAGCTGATCGGAGCAGAAGCCTGGGAGAATATCACGCGTTAAGAAGCATTTGGATTATTTATTGTTTAGGTCGATAATCCAAGAAATGGGTGATTGGCGATGTATAAAATGTCTTGTGTGATAAGAATGTGCCACCAAGGCTTAAAGGTAACATTTATAAAGTAATTGTTAGACCAATTATGTTGTATGGAGCATAGTATTGGCTGGTCAAGAATTCACGCGTCTAGAAGATGCAAGTAGCGAACATGAGGATATTGAGATGGATGTGTGGGCATACTAAGAGAGATACGATTAGGAACCAAGAAATTCCGGACGAGGTGAGAGCATGTGAAGTGGAGATGCACATATGACCTAGTGAGGAGATGTGAGACGTTGACTATGGTAATTGGTAGGTATGAGGATAGGTAAAGGTAGGCCTAAGTAGTGCGGAGAGGTGATTAGATAGGATATGACACACGTGTTAGTTGTAACTTTACTTACTGCGTGCTTGATCTTAGATAAGAGGGTATGAAGGCCGAGGATTAGGGTAAAATGTTGATAGGTAGTCGAATTTTGACTAGTTTACGTTATCAGTATTGTTCCGATTATTACTTTTCTACTGTCTTATTCTTTTTTTATTACCACTTGTTGTTTCCTCTACTTCTATTACCGTATTTTTTTTAATGTTGCTACTGCTCTCTTCTACTTTATTTTTACCATGGCTTCTTCACTACTGTATTTCCTTTCTATACTTGTTATTATTATGCTTTACTTGAGCCTGAGGGTCTATCGAAAGCAACCTCTTTACCTTCACAACATAGGGGCAAGATTGCGTACACATTACCATTCTCAAATCCCACTTGTGTGATCACACTAGGTATGTTGATGTACCTCCCTTGGGATGCCAAGGCAGCTTTTATAATATGCATTATCTGGTTAAAGAAAACTGAAGGGTACCTTTGTTGAAGTAAGAAACTGAAAGGAGAATAAGATTTATCTTTGCTTGGAGATCGGGATGGATTCTCATTCAACCTGTAAATATTTGCATTTATTGTACTTGTATCATAATTGTAACTTCTGGAACCACGGATAAGGGGAAGGTGAGGATTACAATTTCAGAACCAGCCATGTGTATGGGTAGGGTGAGAAATTATTATAAGAACTCGGTGTATGCCGTACCATACTCTCTCCATTCATAAATATCGTTAGTTCTTGTTTAAGATTGAAGTTAGTAGTATGAATGATAAACTTGAGGTATCAGTTACCCCATGACATTAGTTGTGGTATGCACAAGCTGTCCCAAACACTATATTCATCCAAAAAAAGAATGATAATTTTCAGTTTTTCATTAAAAAACATTTGATTTTAGTGCACAAGGAATATAAAAAAATTGTAGGTTGAGGAACATGATGGTGGAGATATTGTATCAGTATGGTATGATATCTGGATGAGCACTCAATGGTGTGACCTCTAATAGTCAGTATAGTGGGTTGAGAATCAAAGGGTCTTAGGTCCAAATCCGATGAAGCAAAAACACTAGGTTCTTTCTATCTGTCCAACTCTTGGTGGATGGAGTTACTCGGTACCTGTGTTGGTGTAAGGTAGCAGATACCCGGTGGGCTAGCTGTTTCCGCTCCAATGTTCAAACAAAGATATTGTTTGTATATGGATGATCCGTTGTAGCAGCTACTAATGCTTGTAGTAGGGTAGGCTGTCTACGTCACACCCCTTGGGGTCTAACCCTTTCCTGGAACCATGCGTGAATGCGGATGTTTTTTTCACAAGCATGCCCTTCTTATCTGTATATCAGTGAATGCTAAGTAGTATTATTTATCATGGATGAGTTCACCGAATAGATTTCATGTCTTTTGTCATCCTACTAGGAGAGAAACTTGCCACCTCTAGAAAATGTGTTTTCAGTTTTTCTTTTTCTTTTTCCTTTCCCTTTCTGTTTTGCTTGCCAAATAAGGGAAATGATTGTTACAAACTTTTGATTTTCTCATTTTCTACTAATGAGACGCCCTAATATGCAAGCATATCTCTCTACTTTTCAACTTTACTTGAATCAAACCATATTCCATGTTAGAAAGTGCTCAATCTCGGAAGGTGTATGATGTAGATAGTCTATAGGAGTTCCTCAGTTGCCTCACATGCTAGAGTAGAGAGGAACTGAGATTTTCGTAATATCCCTGCTGTAATCTCCCAACACCACCTTGGTGTGAATGAACCTTTTTACCAACCTATGAAAAAGAAATGTTGGGAAAGCTTGAAAGTGACCTATAAGTTACATCCGTCATCATTGACAGTAATAACTTTTGAAAATTGCAAATTAAAAAAATGAAGTAAAACTATTTTTAACAAGGAAGAAGTAATACTGTTAGCAGAGGCAAAGGGATGTCTAGCATGTGAACCGTTAACCTTTTGGGGGTTGGAATATAGGAGTTGCTTAAAGAGAATAAAAGCAATAGTCTCAAGGAACATTCTGGGAAGTACTGAATAAGAGCGATGTCCTATTTGGGGTTGCATGTTAGGTGATTTAGGTCACAGTTGAATGTTTGGCGCCAACTATCAATTTTAAGGAAACTGTTGATATACTGACTTGAGGAAATGGATGCATGAATGGACTCCCAAAGTTGAGACAGTCGTGAGTTGAGTTTAGAGACGTAAGCACTTCTATGGGATTCAAATTACTTCCAGGTTTCTTATATGATATGCAAACTTCCTGATAAGCTACTGTCAAGGACAACCAACCGTTGTGCAGGATGTAAATTAAATCACCTAAGTTGTCTTTTCAATCATTTTGCTCATGGATTTTCTATGAGCTCAATATGTCCCTTTGCTGTGAAAAAGACAAAGTTGAGTACTTCATTAGCTTACCCCTGATAATTTTAGTTGCACCATTTCGGTATTTGGATACTCCAGCTAATGCCCTCCTTTCTCCATGTTATGTGCTCGGGCTCTCCCGAAACACTGCCACACCCGTATTGGATCCTCCAAATATGTACTATTTTTGAAGATCTAACATTCATCAGTCAACATTTTTGAAGAGTCCGAGCAATAAAGATGCGTGCTTCATTACTTCTCACATTTTATATCACCAAGGTATTATTATGCTTTGCTCGGAAATCTTGTCAATAAAACAAGATATGGATATGATATTTATCACCAACAAACAATACCAGAAGCTGGGAAAATGGCAGGGAAAATTTTTATGAGCTTTCTGCTTGTGGGATTAACTTTACAGTTTTGTTTATATATATTTTAGTTTATATTGTGTTGAACTGTGTTATTAAATATACTTGAATCCCATCACAATGAGCACATCCACAAAGGGTTATTCATATAAGCATAGTTTCTCCGTTTCATGAATTAGTTGTGTTTATGTGTGACTGGAGTGTATGTTAGTGTGGAGTTTTGATGGACACCTACAGAATGATTGAAGCTAAGGAATGTTTCTTCAATTACTAGTGGTGCCTGATTGTAGGAAATAAGACATTAGTTTGTTGTTTACTTATTAGTCTAAGTACTTTTAAGGGTCATTTGGTAGAGTGTATGAGAATACTGCTAAATAGTGTATAAGTAATGCTTGCATTAGTAATGCATCTATTAGTTATGCTTGCATTAATTATACATAGATTATTATAATGCATTGTTTGGTTTGATACATTAAAATAGTATGGATTTCATTAAAAAAATTATTGACAAGATATCCTCCAATTTTATGGTGGAAAAGGATAATTGAGTGTTTTATCATTTAAATGCATGCATTAAAACCATTGCGTTGCTAATACCTAGAAATTCATGGTATTAACAATGCATACCTTAATAAACAACAGGGTATAACTAATGCGATTAGTTATACACATGTTGAATAAGAATATCAAACAAGGTACTAGTAATACACAAGGCTAATGCATGCATTATTTTCCTTAATACACTCTACAAACGACCCCTTAGTCTCTCATTTGTAACTTGGAGCAGAAAAAACCAAGGAACTTACTCCAAAGTTGTGCATATCAAATGGGTCATGGAGCAATTTTTTTAGTTTGGGATTTAACTCAAAGTTGGTCACTGAAGGGGAAGGGGCTCAATATACGTTAAAAGTTGATTTTTCTTTACACCCATAAATGATCCAATTAAGAGCCATCTACACAAATTAAGAGTGAGTGACGATGATAGTCCAATTGTAACAATCAGGGAGATAATATTTCGCAGCAAGGGATTGCTTAATTCCATTCTTTAGCATGTATTTGCAGCAGGTGTATGACTGTATAGTCTGCTGTTTGGCCGAAGCAGATATACTTAATTGGAGAAGCATGATACATGTTCACACTTAATGGTGTTATAAAGATTTAAGCTACAGACCAAACTTGCTCAGTAATCGCAGTTTTTGTTGCTCAAGTTAAATAGTTCTTCTAGATATTTGTACTAGGATTGACTGTTATTTAAAGATGTGATTTTGTTAACCTACGGTTATGGTTTGATGTGCTTCGAGCTTATTGGTTCCTCGTCTTTGATTTGTTTTTGCAGCATTTGTGGCCAAATTCATGAGCATCTACAAGAGTTTCCTTATTTCAACATTTGGCTAAGATAGAAGATCTGAAGTAGTTGAAACTGTTTGGCAGTAGGAAAAAGTTTTCTTTGTCCATTGTGCTAATGTCCTGTCGTGTTTTAATTTAATTCGGGCTGTACAATACATTACTGTACCAGAATCATATTCCAATTTGATCTCTATCGGAAGGGATTTCTACTGCTAGTATCTTTGCGATTGCCATGTCGCGGTGGGTACAAGGTAATGGTACATGTTGCAGTTATTTTTTCCCCCATCTCCCTAGCCCCTTTGATGGGGAAAGTGAATGAACTACAAAGAGTAGGTGTATGAAATTGTGGGTCTTAGTTTTGGTGGTAAATAATTCAATTTGCAGCTTATTGCTGTTTCCTCGACTGCTAGACCTAAAGGAAAATCAAGAAATGACAAATTATGACACAACATTACACAAATGCTAAACAGAGTTGTATACTCAAGTCAGAACATTACACAAAGGATAACATTCTACTTTCTACCATCAAGATACAAGCTTATCACCAATCATACTTTACACGGGGAAACTAAAACAAATTATAATGGAAGTGAAGAGGCAACTTAGAGCAAAAGAAGGTAGATACAGAATACACCTACGTCTTCAAACATTATATTATAACCTACCTGCATAACAGTAAGAATTTGAGGTTCTGGCACATTATAACACTTCAAACATGTATGATGCACCAAACATCAGAAACATATGACCTGCATAACAATAAGAATTTGCGGTTCTGGCACATTATAACACTTCAAACATGTATGATGCACCATACATCAGAACCATATGAGTGCCTGATGCTAGAAAAAAAAAATTCACCCAAAGAAACTAGTAATTCTATATACAGAGAGTTCCTGACCAAGCTTGTGTGTAGCGTGGTGTAATCCTCCAGTCATTTCTGTGTACCCGCCTTCTTTTCATAGTTTAAACCTTTCCTACATGGCACTGACTATTCCATCAGCCCCGGAATGACCAAATTAGGCTAGTTGCATGGCTAACACGAGTATCGAGGCCTTCATTGCAAGTTTAGACCATTAAGCGTTTTAGCCTTTGAAATTTGGCTTAAGGTTGACTTTGCTAAACATTCTTGGGAAACACATCTAAATGAATATTCTGACAGCGCGGTTAGCCCCGTAATGCTAAGTTTGGTCGGAAACGATCTTTTGTTCGAATCCCAAGGCCTTCAAACTTATTCCGAGCCCCTCGGTGGTTTAGGTTAAAAATAACCTTTGGGTGTGGGACCCACTTTTTGTCAAGATGACCTCGTATAGAAATTTTGACAGTGCCATTGAGACTGAACGTCAAATTTAGTGGGGGTAACATAGTCCTTATGTGCGCACAGGATTCTGAACGAATTTCGAGCTACTCGTCAGAAACTCTAAAAAGGCAAAAGCTGAGATCTGGTGCAGCCCTTTTAGCACCAGATTTTTTGGGCTTTTAGTAATCATATATTTGGGCTATTTAGCAACCAGATTTGCCTTTTAAAAGCCCCATTTATGCTTTTGAACCTCATTTTAAAAGTGTGATATCTTGAGCTTTAGAGCTCCAAACTAGGTGATCCAAGAGGCTAGGTTGTGAGCTTTTTTGAGGAGAACACGTTGGTGAGATCGGAAGCTGCTTTGGGACCTTTGTTTGAGGTAAATTATTTATTTCACCTATTGTCGTGGCTACTTTGTGAACTCAATTTGTGGGATATTCCATCCATCTGAGCACAACTAAGATGTATCGTGATTTGAGGCAGTATATTGGTGGAGCGGTATGAGGAGAGATATGGCCGACTATGTATCTCGTTGTTTATGTTGCCAGCAGGTGAAGTCCAAACTTTTGAGGCCTGGTGGCAAGTTCTAGATATTACCTATTCCGGAGTGGAAGTAGGAGCATATCATTATGGACTTCATTGTGAGGTTGCCTCGAAATTCTAGAGGCGTTGACAACATTTGCGTCATTGTGGATCAATTGACCAAGTCAACACACTTCCTTCCTATTCATACTACCTTCAGTGCCAAGAGGTTGGCTCGTATCTACATTCGGGAGGTAGTTCGTCTTCATGGGGTGCCTGTTTCTATTATTTTAGACCAGTGGTCACAATTCACTTCGAACTTTGAAAGGGCTTTTTGGGAGGATTCGGGCACCCGTGTCCACCTTAGCACAATATATACCCGCAGAAGGATGTCTAGTCACAACGACTATTCAGGTCCTTGAGGATACGTTACGAGTCCGTATTATGTATTTTGAAGGTTAGTGGAACTACTCCATGCCTTTGGCGGAGTTTGCATACAACAACAACTACCACCCTAGTATTCAGATGGCGCCGTTCGAGGCCTTATATGGCATAACACATCGTCTCTCTCCAGTTGGTTAGTTTAAGTCTACAAAGCCTAGGCCGCGTGGTATAAATTTTCTTCAAGATGCCTTGGATCGGGTGAGGGTGATTCAGGATAGCCTCAATCAGGTAAGGGTAATTAAGGATAGGTTTTCAGGACGACTCAAAGTAGACAATAAAGTTACGCGGATCACAGGCGTCGACTGTTGAGGTTTGCAGTTGATGATTGAGTATTTCTCCGAGTATCGCCCATAAAGGGCATGATGAGATTTACGAGGCAGGTCAAGCTTAGCCCCATGTATATAGGCCCTTTTGAGATTTTGAGAGAAGTTGGCGAGGTTGCCAATGAGTTAGCTTTACCTCCAGCACTATCGACTACCTACCCAGTTATCCATGTTTGGATGCTATGTCGGTTTGTTCCATATGAATATCTTGTGCTCAGTATGATTCAATTAAGTTGGATGATCGTCAAAGCTATATAGAGGATCCGGTTGCCTTTCTTGACAAAGATGGCAGGCAATTGCGTCCGAGAGCTATTCATGTTGTTAAGATCCATTGGAGGAATCGCCTAGTTGAGGAGACTATCTGGGAGACCGAGCAGGAGTTACGAGAGCATTTCCCCGACTTATTTGAGTCTTCATGTACTTTTTGACTCTTACTTTCATCGACGAAAGTATTTTTTTAAGTAGTGGATGTTGTAATGACCCTCTAGGTCATTTTTATGTATTTACCTTCTTTTCGTAGATTAGAGCTTTCCTATAGCGACCCCAAGTCATTTATGACTTGGTGGCACTGATTGTTTGATCTCCTGATCGTTCGTTTGGGTTTTATGCTTGTTTCCCAGTTTTAGAGCTTTTGAAACTTGAATAGTTGACTTTAGTCAAAACATTAGGTAAAAGACCTCAGAAAAGGAATTTTGGCAGTTCCATCAGCTCTAGAATATCCACATTAGGATAATAGCATGTATCGAGACCTTCGGTACGAGTTTGGACCATTAAGCATTTTAGCCTTTGAAATTGGCCTAAGGTTGACTTTTGTCAACATTCTAGACTCATTTCTAGCCCCTTAGTAATTTTTGGTTAAAAATGGCCTTTGGGTGTGTGACCCACTTTTTTGTCAAGATAATCTCGTATGGAAGTTTTTACAGCTCCATTGAGTTCAGATCATCGAATTTAGTAAGGTAGCATAGTTTGTATGCGCACAGGATCCGAAAGAATTTTGAACGACTATCCCAACTCCATTGTCTAGTGCAACCTTTTCATTTATACTGAATAAAACTAACTCATGTGGATTAAGATATGACATAGATCGACCAATAGATAGCACAACATACTCTGTTCATAATCACCAAGGTACTACTATTTTCCAATAATGCAACTACTGCCGCCACTTCAAATGAAATTCCTTTTCACACTATAGACATGATTTTTGAGTTTAAGGATTCATTCAACACTCACACTCAGAACTGACTTCAAGTATATTTAGTGCTGAATACCATATGCTTGCCCTTATTTTCATGGCATAGGCTCTCCAACTTGCCACTGGGATCACTCTAGGACTTTGTTAGCTTGTACATAGGCTCATAGTAAGGTAGGATATATTTGGGTTCCTTTTAGTGACTTTCTGCCCTCCTTGACATAACATTGACTTTTACCTCTTTTCTCAACCAATTCTTGACAACTTTTTATTTCTTTTATTTCCCTTGACTGTGTTATTTGACTTTGCAACTCATATTTTTTACTTTTATTCTTTTTCTTTATTCTTCTCAACACTTTTGCTATTCATCTTTTTGAACAAAATCACATATTTTTCTATCTTTTCTTTTCTTTTCATGTCTTCAAAAACAAAACTCTTTTCATACCATTTTCTTCTAGTTTCCTTTTTCATAGCCACCCTCAACTTATCAATTTTGCGAGAGTTGAGGTGCAAAATATCTAATGTCAGACAATGGAACAAGATTAAGGTAAGTTTTTGACTTATCTACCCTCAACTTAGGCTTTGACATAAGTCAAGGTGCACATGTCCAAGGAGGGAAAAGGCCAAAACAATCAACTAAGGGAGGGTGAAGTAGGTGATTGAAAGGAATAGTCTATTTGAGGATTAAACATTAGGACCAAAGGAAAAATTTATTTCATTTTGTTGGATTAATTTAGGCATTAGTGGACTTATCAGAAGCAGGGCCTATGATCATTTCCTAGCTTCTAGCCTCGATCATCTAAGAAGGACCAACAGGGCAAGTTCTATATTGGCACACAACTTTCTGAACATTCAAACTTTCTCACTCACTTTTGGAACATTGTTTGATTATTAGATTATCAGGTTACCTAATTCAAGATTTAGCGTAAGTCATGAGATCAAATTGCTTCTTTATCATGTCATACTAAGAGACAACACATTCAACTCATCAAGACAACAAGTTCTAGCACATTTCAAAAGTTTTGGACGGGTATCAATTCTTTGTCATTATACCATCACGCTCCGTATTCTTCTTCATGCTTCTACACCTACAATCCTAAATATGATGGTTTAACAGATTTTAAAAAAGTCTCTTGGGGAAAAGAGCACAGGCAAGAAAACCTAATGAGAGGATAGTGATTTGGGTTACTTAGATTTCGCCCACCATTCACAATCCATTTACCCCCTCCCACCCAACAAAATAAAGTGCGATTGTCCCCAATGCACACAAAAACAAAAAATCAATGCATAGGGTGAAAGTGAGGCAAACCTGTGGGTCAAATGCGCCGAAGACATCTCAATAAGTAGGTGGGTCCAATTTTCCAAATCCCACTGGATAAACAATTAAAGCGCCTTTAGTAGAGCTCCTTTATACTACCCAAGCACTCTTAGTAGTGCTCACATCAACTCTTACTGTAGTAGCACCCTTAGTAGTGATCACAGGACCAGATGTACCAATACCAGCATCTCTGGCTCATTTCTGTTTAAGCTCACTCATCAACTATAGATGCCCTTTAGTAATCCTCAATCTACTTAGAACTCTTTTTTTCTCTATCTCGCAACCTTAGCACCAATCTATGTACGAACCAAGATGTGCTGCTTTCCTACGGCATGGGAAGAAGCTTGTGGCGGAATACTGTCGTAGAATAGGGCATTCAACACCACTAGATCCTCCGATGTCGTGAGGGAATACTTTCTCTCAGTCGTTGAGGGAGCTAGAAAGGCATCAATTTCTGCCCGAAGGCTAGTAAACTCCCTCCGGAAAGTGGTCAAATCAATCATTGGGGATGGCCTCTCCTCAAAAGCATCCAGACTCTTATGAAAGTCCTGGACCTGCTGATTCATCAAGTGCTCCATTCTTTCCTCTAACTATGCTATTGAACATTGCATCCAGGGATTCACATGTTGAAGCAACGTAGCAGTATATGTCTCCATCTTCTACACTCAGGCTAGGGTGATGAGAATGGACCCGGATGGAGAAGTGGATTTGGAAGAGCTAGGGTCCTGACTGGTAACTGAAGATGTGGGAGCTTGGGCATCTATAATAGTGTCTAGAGGGCAAGGTCATTAACCTGCATTATATCCACATATGCTACAGATCCTCACCTAATGGTAGTACCTCAACTAGTGGCTTTTTGCATGGTGAATCCAGGTTGTTATAATCCTGAGTCATCCCAATATCTAGCGTATTGATTTCCTGAAGAAATTGGTCATCATGCAAGACTATTACATTGGCATTCCTGCAAAGTTGGAATAAGACAGGGGAACGACAAGGTGGTGGTGGCTCCACAACCAGGAAGTGGACAAAATCAACCTCTAGCATGATATGCTCAAATTACACGTCCCTAAAGAGGTATAAACGGTCGTATCAAGTAAAGAACCCAACTAGTAGCTTGGGGTCGACCCCATGAGGAAATTTGTTTAGACTTAACTTCATTGGAAGATTATTGCTATTTAGTCAAGTTCTTTCCAAAAGCAAGTAAATAAGGGGGGGGGGTTGTAACAGAAATCTTTGTTAACAATTCTAACCCAAACAACTAAATAAAAGCAAAGACTTTGTTTTTTTATCAAGTTATGTTGAATGCCTTGAATCGGACCCGTATTGGGCCCGTAATTATCTGTCAATTCTGTATTTTGGGCCCAAGCCTGTTAGGGAGTAGCTTAGCACTATATATATAGACACTATGGCAAACCCTATTCTGTAATTTTGTTCTTGCCTCTCCATAATAAAACTGCTCCCCCTCTTCCCGTGGATGTAGCCAATTTATTGGTGAACCACGTAAATCTGTTGTCTTGTTTTTCGTATTTATATTTTCTCGTATTATATCAAATTCCGCATAACAAATTGGTATCAGAGCCTTTCGGTTAATCGGTGTTCTTGGAGAATTTGATATGTCTGCTTTGAACGTGAAAATCGACAAATTCACAGGGAGGAACAGTTTCAGTTTATGGCAGATCAAGATGCGGGCTTTGTTGAAACTACAAGGCTTCTGGGCGCCGTTGTCGAAAGACAAGAATGCCGTCATTACTCCTGAGATGGCGATTCTGGAGGAAAAGGCGCACTCGATGATCATGCTGTGTCTCGCGGATGACGTCATCACGAAGGTCTCGGATGAAGAGACTGCTGCTGGTCTGTGATTGAAGCTGGAGAGTTTGTACATGACAAAATCTCTAACCAACAAACTGCTTCTGAAACAACGTCTATTCGGTTTACGAATGGCTGAAGGTACATAACTCAGGGAACATTTAAAGCAATTGAATACTTTGTTATTAGAATTGCGTAATATCGATGTGAAAATCGCGGATGAAGATTCTTCCCTGATTCTGTTAGTATCTCTCCCAATGTCGTTTGAGAATTTTATTCAATCGTTCATTGTTGGGAAAGATACTGTGTCGCTGGAAGAAGTCAGATCGGCCCTCCATAACAGGGAATTACGGCATAAGGCTAATGGCACAAGTACGGACATACATCCTTCCGGTCTGTTCACCAATAGCGGAAAGGGAAGGAAAAATGGAGGAAAGAAAAATAACCCGATGTCGAAGGGTGCAAAGCCGGATGATGTTTGTAATTACTGCAAGGAGAAGGGACATTGGAAATTTGATTGTCCGAAGAAGAAGAAGCAATCGGAAAAACAATCAGTTTCTTCTGTTGTTGCTGAAGAAGACACCAATTCTGAAGAAGACATTGCCCTAGTTGCGGATGAGCACACTCATCATTCAGATGTGTAGGTTCTCGATTCTGGGGCATCTTATCACATCTGTCCTAGGAGAGAGTGGTTTACAGCTTATGAGAAGGTAGACGGAGGTAGCATCTCGATGGCCAACAGTTCTATCTGCAAGGTGGTTGGGACAGGCTCGATCAAGATAAGGACACATGACGGTAGCTTCTGCACATTGAACGAGGTCAGGCACGTTCCATTGATGACGAAAAATCTGATATCTCTCAGTCTTTTGGATAGCAAGGGATTCAGCTGGTCAGGAAAAGATGGAGTCTTGCGGGTCTGGAAGGGTTCAAATCTGATTCTGAAAGGTGTCATGCGTGGTACTTTGTATTTTCTACAAGGTTCCACGGTTACAGGTTCAGCCCATGTTGCATCGTCAGAAGTTCACCAGGAGGATATGACTAAGTTATGGCACATGAGACTTGGTCATATGGGTGAAAGAGGGATGCAAATTCTGTCAAAGGAGGATCTTCTT